CCCCCCCCCTCGCTTGGTGGGAAGAGAGAGGCAGGGAGAGGGAAGCCGGATCCTTGGCCAACCTTGATGAGGGAGGAAGGAAGAAGGTGTCCTTGTCTTGGACTACCTGATGAAGTGAGAAAGGAGGAGCTTTGGTAACGAAACTAAATCCGCCAATCTATCGGAAAGCGTTGAAGAGGTTTGAAGACTCTACCATCCCTAAGCCTTGTATGAAGTTGATTGTGAAGGACGAGTGACCGAAGCGAAATGCATGTATGGGTTAATGCATTGAGGCTCATGAGGGGTGTTGGCATGTGTCGGCTGCTCGCACTCCATGAATGCTACTTTATTGTATGCATGTGCAGGTGAGTGAGGAGGGAAGGAAAGGTAAAGCGAAGGAAAGAGAGTTAATGGCTTGTGGGCTTGATATGCTGAGTAGAAAAGAGAATGCTTGATTATTTGGGAGGCTTTGTGAGACATTTTGACTGACGATCGTGATAGTTGATTCCATAGAAACTCTTTGAAAATCAATCATCAAACACATAGATAGATGGTAAAGGCATCCTGCCGTGTTTTGCATGATCGAGTTTGAAATCGATCTCACTTGCACAACAGACTTAAAAATCTGTTCCTACAGGTTATCTGTTCAAGTCCGATAGCGAACATGCTTGCTTGGTGAAAATGGCAAACACGACAGAATAAAGCAAAGTTTTGCCATCAAGCGACCTTGCTTTCCCACTACCCCTTCGTTTTCAACTTCGAATGTGAAGCTTTTTCCCCGACCCCTTGGCTTTAACCCACTCCAAGGGAGTCCGCGACCTACGCCACCTTTGACTTATAAGTGGACTACCACATCGGGAGACTACCACATTGGGATGAGGCAGCCTGGTACCCCGCGTGATTGCATCACGCCCGGATGGGGTAAGGCCAAAAATAGTTTTCCGTCTCTATGCGGGGGTGTGGCCGCCACGTATCTTGGTGATGTAAGAGGCGAGCCCATCCATGAGGGGGCGAGAAGACAGACTTGCTGCAAAAGGTGCGCTGCAGATCGCAAACAAAACATGTAAAGTTTGCACGACCACAAAGAAAGGAGAGTATGAAGGCATGGGCCGCACGGGGACTAAGGGAACAGAGATACGCAGGTGTGCGACACTCGTACTCGTCGCCGCTGTCCCCATGACCTTTTTTTCCCCTAGTCGTCGCGGCTGTCGCCAGTTCCCCCCGGCATTTCTCCGGCCGTCGCCCCGAGTAACTCTCAACGGCCGCCATTGGACTGCATGAGCTTGGAAGGAGCATTTGCTTGAGAACAACTAGAGCCATCGGAACTAAACTTCGAAAGACCTACCATAACCTTTGCAAAGGACAAACTCTATCGTCTGTGCTTATCCTAACAACTGACATAAGGGCGACTCCAAAGGGCGCAAATTCAGACCGGAATCGCCTCGTTGGGCCGGAAAGTGTCTAAGACCGAACATCTCTCTTGGGTTTAGGTGCAACAACGGCCCAACAGGATATAGAGAGGGGGGCCCAGTTGTAGGCAGGTAGTCTCCAATCATTCATGTGGCACCAGGCTGAGCAGTCTAGAGGCCAAGGAGGTAGAGGAGCACTGACTACAACTACGAGAGCTTGCAAGTGCATTGGAGGCCACCCGGCTAGTGCCATATCTTGGAGGTCTGCCACCGGCCATAGCTGGTTTTCTTCTGCGAGCAATTCATCAGTGGCTCAAAACTCTGCCTTTCACCGTTTAGTATCATCCTCCTGTGTGTGTGTGTGTGTGTGTGTGTGTGTGTGTGTGTGTGTGTGTGTGTGTGAGAGAGAGAGAGAGAGAGAGAGAGTGTGTGTGTGTGTGTGTGAGAGAGAGAGAGAGAGAGAGAGAGTGTGTGTGTGTGTGTGTGTGTGTGTGAGAGAGAGAGAGAGAGAGAGAGAGAGAGAGAGAGAGAGAGAGAGAGAGAGAGAGAGAAGTTGGAGACTTCACATTATTTTTAGGGAGCAGTGCTCTCGCCCAGAAATCTGGATTGTTCATGCTGGGGTCGATAGGAGCAGGAGAGTCATTATTTTGGCATTGCCATATCGTGTTCGTCTTCTTCTTATTCCTCACTCCTCCCACTTCACGTCCACCTCTCACCTCCTTCCTCTGTGGATGATGTTGAGATGGGGAGGCGTTTCCTGTGTGAGCTCCAACCTCGCTACTCTGTGAGAGGAGTCTCTGCCCATAGTGTTGGTATCGTGCATGTATATGCATGAACCAAGTCTGATCCAGTCTTCTGCTGTGCATCATTTTCATCCTTTACCCCATTGGTGATTCTTGGACTATCTCACACTCCCAATTCTTGGACTTTCTCACACTCCCAATTCTTGGACTTTCTCACATTCCCAATCGATTGACCAAACATGGGACTGCGCGCATGTGATACGCAACCTCACGCCCCCTCGCGGCTTCCCGTACGGGGTCGCCGATCAGAGTTCTAGGAGGGGCGTGGCCGAGGATTTTTGGCCGTAAGGGTCGAGCCTCCCGGACGGAACGGGAGGCTCTCGTTTCTTGGCCGAGGTTTTTCTCGGAGTCGAACTGTCGTCGCGAAGTCCCGCGGGGGTCGGATTACTCCGAAACGATAAAATCAGAAGGGTTTCTGTGAAAATGAATTGCCGTCGTGCATCGGGATGGGAATAGGCATTAAGGGGAGGAGGCCATGACGGCAGACGGCCAAAACTCCGGCCGTCATGGGTTCCGGGGATAGGTGGTGGGTTCGAAGCCTTCAGGCCTCGTCATCGGCCTCCCGAAGTGGCCGAACCCTCGGGTCTTTTGCTGTAGAGGTGGTTGGTTCGAGGCCTTCAAGCCTCGGCGTCGGACTCATAGAGCCCGCGCGAAAGTTTCCGGGAGGGTAAAGCGGCGGGAGGACTCGCCGACATTTGAATTCGAAATTGCGCGGGCAGCGCCCCCGCACTACGGGAAAGCTCGGGGAAACGTGTCGCTCCCTCGTAACCCAGGACCAGCCGTCGCCACGAACATGAGTCCCCCTGGCGACACCAGCGACAATCAAACTGCGGTCGCCA